TGCTAGTGATTGGCAATCAGAATTGTTTTTTTTTCTTTTTCTCGACATTTTACTCTGAGGTACATAACTAGCGTCAGAAATGTTTATCATACCTAATTCCCCTCCCAAAATAAAGTGAATAAAAACCAATTTATTTTTGCAAAAATCCAGTCCATCTTCTGTGAAAAAAATTAGACTACAAACGTTTTATTGACACTGAAAATGTGACGTCACAGAAATTAAAGCTGAATACGTTGATTCCATATCTTTATAGGCTTACTATTATGGGGACCGAAAGGTGCGAGCAAACAGACACAAACTTAGCTTTATATACTAAATAGTAATTAACATGGGCGTCCCCAGGATTTGTTACAGGGGGAGCAAGATGGCAAAATTATATCAAAACTATAACTAGGGAAATGCAGATGGTTTTTCTTTTAGGTTATTCTTTAAATTTTGATTAGATAATTCGGTGTGGGGGGTGGTGTCCCCTTGCCTACGCTCATGGTAATGGGGGTGTCCCCCTTGCCTACGCCCATGGTAATTACAATTGATAACGAATACAAATTGTTTTATATCTACCAAACTCTCATAGGAACACAGTTGTCATAAAATTCATCAACTTACTTGACACAGTGCATGCACCCACTTGGTGAGCATGTAGAAGGGTAATATTCAAAATGACTGTCAACAACGTGGGCTCGAACACTGTCGTAAAACACTAACTACATAAAGGAAAAACATTTAAACTTAATACTTTGAGGTGAAAAACGAAAAAATTCAGATACTGAAATAATAAGCATGCGCAACAGGAGTTAGCATCTATCGAGCATGCGCGACAGGATTTAGCATTTATCAAGCATGCGTGACAGGAGTTAACCCTTACGGAGTATCCGCGACAGGATTAAAGGTGTTAGGGTTGGAATGGGATTAAAGGTGTTAGGGTTAGAATGGGATTAAAGGTGTTAGGGTTAGAATGGGATTAAAGGTGTTAGAGTTAGAACGATATAAAAGGTGTTAGGGTTAAAATAATGTTAAAGGTGTAAGAGTTAGAACGATATTAAAGGTGTTAGGGTTAGAATGGGATTAAAGGTGTTAGAGTTAGAACGATATTAAAGGTGTTAGGGCTAGAATGGGATTAAAGGTGTGAGGGTTAGAACGACATTAAAGGTGTTAGGATTAGAATGGGATTAAAGGTGTTAGGGTTAAAATAATGTTAAAGGTGTGAGGGTTAGAACGCTATTAAAGGTGTTAGGATTATAATGGGATTAAAGGTGTTAGGATGAGAAAGAACATTGCATCCAACGAGAACGGTACACAACTCTTGGATTGGGTAAATCATGTTTAACTCCTACTACTCTGCTGTGCAACTTCGACAATCAGTTGGCTTCATATCAATGAATGATTCAGTAGAACTAGTAACTATGTGGACATTCTTAAAACTCCAGCGATCTTTTTGTTGTTCTTGCATAAAGGTTAATTATAAAATCCTCATTCATGAACTTCCTAATTCTTAGAAAAACGTTTCATTTTTATTAAACTATTCTCTCAAAAACAAACAACAATTTTCGTCCTGTTAATCGGACTATTTTTTTTTTTCTACAGTAACTTAAATATGATGTTTTTTCTACGGGAGCACTGAGCAACCAAAGTCATTTGTCAACTGTAATTTAAGGCCTAATTGGTAAAAGAGACGTTTTGGACCTTATTAATTAATTATAGTTTATTTACATAGGAGGTGGGAACAGAACCCCCCTTATACAAAATAAACAAGAGAAAAATAAGAATATGTGTAATTTAATGTCTTTGTTTTAAGAAAATTCCAGGAAATTCCACCTTCTGAACGTCCAGCTAGTTACTGTCCATAACTAATATTCCTGTAATATTAACTGACAAACAGAATCGTGAAATACGTACCTGTCGAGGTTCTACTCCCAGAGTTTTATCAAATGTATACAGTGTTAAACCTAAATGTATATTATCCACTTTTCCCAGTTGGCTTCCTCGGAATTTCTGGCCGCTCACTTCAGGAGGGCTCCTGTTATTGGCTCTAAGAGTAAATTCTAACGGCTTTAAGTACTGCTGTATAAATTCTCGTCGCGACATCTGTTGGAAAGATGAGCAAGCACCAGGACGTCCAGAGCACTTGATTTCCCAAGCTTTACGAAGTGCGTGTGCATATGTAAAGAGCGCGTGAATACTTGGAATAGCTCGTGATGTTCTTAATAATACCTGACCAGGAGACTCTGAAAGAAGGTGATTAGAACAAACTGGGAGGTTTCTAAACTGTGACCCATCAAGACCCATCACACTGCACTTTTTATTGCTCATAATGTACTCTAGAAACCAGCGACTTTCTTGCATAGTTGTGGAACCCAAGTCCTGAAGCTTAGCCCAATAATCTTCCAGCTGACGGACAGCTTGCGGATAGACGGCGATAGAAAAGACATTCTTTTTGTTCAATGTATTTTCTAAGCTGGCAAGAGATTCTATATCCGGATTCCAAGAAAAGATCCACTGAAACCTCGCCACCTTTTGGGGGTCCTCGGCCATCGCCTGGATGAAACGTTGTATTATACGTCCATGGCCAATCACAATAACAGGCGTTTTATCTTCCAGCTCAACGGTGACTCTGTTAAGCAGATCGCGATACGCTTTTCTCCCAGATCTGAAACCTTCCTCGTTTTGTTCTGATGGGATACTTTCTACTTTAGAAATACACAGTTTTCCAATCGTTGCTACTTGCCCTAGTGTTTCGGTTGCACGAATACTGTGCTTGTCGTTCGCATGTAAGACAGCAATTTTTTCCCATTCCATGTCGAGGGCGACTTCAGCTATGGTCTAAAACAATTAACAAAGTCGGTTGTTTTAATCAACACTTCACTAGCCACAGAAAAGAAGTCATATCAATACAAGATCACGTGATTTTTTTTTAAAAACTTACTAAAACTTGGTTTAGAATAAAACTTAGAGAGACAGATTACTATTTACATTTAGTGTACGATCAAATCATAAACCTTATCTGTACGGATGATCTATAGACTGAAGATACTATCAGATCATAAACCTTATCTGTACGGATACTCTATAAACTTGAGATACGACCAAATCATAAACCTTATCTGTACGGATACTCTATAAACTTAACTACTGCACAGTTAATGTTTAAATTTAACATGTGGCTACTAGTGTATGACATCTAACATGTGGCTACTAGTGTATGACATCTAACATGTGGCTACTAATGTATGACATCTAACATGTGGCTACTAGTGTATGACATCTAACATGTGGCTACTAGTGTATGACATCTAACATGTGGCTACTAGTGTATGACATACACTAGTAGGCACATGTTAGATGACATCTAACATGTGGCTACTAGTGTATGACATCTAACATGTGGCTACTAGTGTATGACATCTAACATTTGGCTACTAGTGTATGACATTTAACATTTGGCTACTAGTGTATGACATCTAATATATCGCTACTAGTGTACGTTTATCTGTTGTAGATAACAGAAAGATGTGTGGTGACTGATAACGAGCTTACTCTCAGAAAACGATAAAAACTTTAGAATAATATTTCTAAAACGTTTTGGTTATAAATATTCTAAGGTGTTAAATGTTATTATTTCGTTATAAAGAAGTTCGTTAACTAAAAATTAGCTATTTACTTAGAAACTAAATGTGTATTTAGAATTCAGGATACAGTTCGAACCATTGCAAGATGATTGTTTTTTTTATAAGGAAGTACGAACCATTGCAAGATGATCTGGAGAAACCGTTGCACTGAACTCTAATGGAATTATGGGTATTTCGTTATCTTGAAGAGAATCAGTCACGTGAGGCAGACTTGTTAATCTTGTCATATCGATTAAACCTACGAATAAAAGTACCAAACAATCGCTGTAATTTATTGTTAATGGATAGTTACATTAAGAAATGACCTGTGGATACTAAGACGAGATAGTAATATTATTATATTAAATCACTTTCTATAAAATATGTGTAGAGCTAGAATTAAAATTGCTTTTTTTTTCTAGATGCAAGAAAATAATTGCCTTTATGTTCCTTCTTCAATAAAAACTGATTATGAGATACTTAAATTCCTTGCGAATAGGAGGCCGGGCGTGGCATGGTAGTTATCGTACCCGGATTGTGAATCGGAGGATTCATGGTTCGTGACTCTCAAAAACGTGTTCTGAACTTTGGAGCAGAAGGTATACAATGAGAGTAATAACAGCGCAGATAGCCCTCGTGTAGCTTTGCGCGAAATTCAAAAACAAACAAAACAAAGAAACAAGAGTAATAACGATCGAATCCCTCTGTCCCCCGGACTTTACGGACTTATAACGATAAAATCCGGGTTTCAATTCCCCGCAGCAGACAAAGCGCAGATAGCCCACTGTGTAACTGTGCGCTAAAACAAACAAACAAACAAATTCCTCTGATCGATCAGGCAAGATCAAGTAGTCCAAGAGTTGGCGGTGGGTACCCTCGACTAGCTGCCTTTCGTCTAGTCCGTCAGCTCAAAATTAAGAACGGCTAAGTGCAGATAACTACTGTGTAACTTTGCGCTAAAACAAACAAACAAAAACATTGTGAATACTAGCTTTACTTTTTATTTTATTATATTTTATGCTGAAAGCCTTATGAATGGTAGCTACACAATAACAGTGGTTTGTTTGACTTATTATAACACGTACGGATTATCCCGTTGATATTGTGGTTACTGTGGCAACAAAAGACTAGATTGTTGGCAGAAGGGCCGTCGGTGATAAGAACACATTTTGTGTTTTTGTCTTAAGTTTAATAAAGATTGTGTTATTCGTATATTATACCTGGTGTTCGATCTACTTATTCCTAGACTTAAACGATATACAGTAAGCACTATTCCGTTAAAAGCGGACTTATCCGGTGAGGGTTAATCACTTTCGCCTGAGCATACATAACACGCAGTGACTGGCTTCCTTCTTTATCATGATAAATCTTGTCCATACTTAAAACTACACCCGTTTTTACTTTGTTGAGGTGGTTTGACTTACAGCGAGGCGTTTACCCACTATCTGGGGTTCCCTGTAAACTCTTGAGGATTATAAGTTAAGTGTTTTGGTAACAATAACATCGAGGATTGGGGACTTGTTATCGTTTTCTATTTTCAATGTGAATTGTATCGTGGGATGTTATCTGTCCAGGTGGTTGGTGAATTCTGGGATCTTGTCTGTAGTGTGGCCAGTTTAGAATTCACCAACCACTTGCCAGGATCGTAGAATTCACCAACCACATGAACTTGTCACATACACACACTACAGACAGGATCCCAGGATCCCAGAATTCACCAACCACTTGAACTGGCCACACTACAGGTCTGTAGTGTGGCCAGTTCAGGTGGTTGGTAAATGCTGGGATCCTGGCTGTAGTGTGGCCAGTTCATGTGGTTGGTGAATTCTGGGATCCTGTCTGTAGTGTGGCCAGTTCAGGTGGTTGGTAAATGCTGGGATCCTGGCTGTAGTATGTGTATGTATGTGACAAGTTCAAGTGTCTAGTGAATTCTGGGATCCTGTCTGTAGTGTGTGTATGTGACAAGTTCAGTTCGTTGGTGAATTCTGGGATCCTGTCTGTAGTGTCTGTATGTGTGGCCAGTTCAATCCATCTATTTATCCTAAACGACATCAGAGCCTTTACACACAAGTACACCTGTGATGCTCAGCCAGGTTTTGTCCATTTTTGGAAATGTTTTTACTAGCCGCGACATAGCGGCTCACAAAATGGCTATGAGGTTTGTTTTTAATTGCAAGTACAAACTTTTAGCTCATACTTCCGTCATCTGTTGACCGATTTGAGGTCTAATTACAGTTTTGAATTCAGGGGGCAAATCCTTTCGAGTGATATATTTGACCACGCCCAAAGTCTCATAGATTAATTTCCTCTACTCCTACCCAAAATAATTTCAATTTGAGGCTAAGCTCGTAGAGATTCTGATGAGTAAGTTAACTGAATCGCGCGCCCCAAGCTTGTTATTAATGGCGCACAAAAATATCGCTAATAAAAAGGAAAATAAAGTTCTCACATATTAATTTTCTCTAATCCTGCTTAAAAGGATTCCAAGTGCAGCGGCTATTGAGGATTCCCTCTAGTATTTGCTTGATTATAATTATACAACAGAGGACCGCTGAACTTCGTAAATCAATTTTTACATTGTCTTTCTTTTGAGTTGTGTCGAGGGTGGTTTTAACTGGTAGGTAGAGACAAGTTCTATTTCAGGGACGCGGCGAACTCCTCCAAGCGGTGCTGCTCGCGTCCAATTTGGACGCACCTTTAGACGACCTCGACCTTACTAGGAATCCCATAATGCAACATAACGAAGATGTAGTCAAGCCTCGAATAAAAGATTTGTGAATAGTATGGACGAATAGGTTTAATGAAGACGAGTTGACTCGTCAGCCATTTTACTGTGGTTTGTTTGAAACGGAGGCGTGCACGTGCGATCTCCGAGTGAGTATTTTAATACACCTTGCAGAATGCATCTGCAGAAATGATGCATCACGAGCTTTCTAACAGTGAAACAACTCTATTTGTTTCACTTCTGGATTTGGATTTTTATACGATAAAAGTAGGCTTAATGTGGTTTGAGGTCTAAAAACAAAAATTATTTTCGTCCTGCTAAAATTAAGCAAACTAACTTGAAACTAGGAGAAGATGCAAAAGCACGAACATCAACATATAAGCATTAATGCAAGCGTTGACAGTTGGGTCGGGGGGTCCCCAACTATTGAAAACCTCTCTGGTTCCAAGGGGTATAAGTACTTTGAATACATATAGAACAACCAGTTTTACAAGTACATAATATGACCCTAAAACATACCCATGAAATGCGTCTAGTCACCAAAGTAACAATAATAAAGTGATGTTTGAATAAGGACAACTTAGGTTAGTGACTTTAGTTCGAACAGCGTTTGTAGATCTGTATTATAAACAATGCTTGAAGTGGGAGAAAAGAGGACGCTGAATGGTTTGAGAAAATTTTGAAGCTGAGTACTATATTTCTTATTTCCCATGTGTATTCTTTATTTATTATTATAAAAATAACTAAAATGTAAAAAGTAGAAACTCATTAGGTAAGATAATTTGATATGATAACGTGAACTGCACGTGTTCGCGGAGTGTTTTACAACTTGTGTGGCGGGATTATTAGCTAAACACGGTTCAAATGGCAATAAAATTAAGTATAGATAGATATATACTGTTACGAGTTATCGTGTGGAAACTGGTGATTACTTTTTGGTTACGAACTCGGTCACATTGACCGAGCCCTTAGCGAGAGAGTTCGTTGCTCTATCCGTGTATCACTTTGTTTCATTCTCGCCTTGCTTTTTTATGACATTTTAGTAATAAAAAATATATAGGTTCTCTCCCCATATCCCTTGCCTCAGTAAATATTTATTGCCTCGTCTATTGAACCTTCCCCACTGAGAAGCTTACAGTCTAGTAAAAGGTAGAGGGATGGTTTTGGGCCCCCCTGAAAAGAATTGGAGTGGCATCCTATCTCATCCTGTCTCATTTCAAGCACTTCAGATATTCATTTAGACAATTTGCCGTGTTTTACCATATTTAGTGCATTAGCAGGTTTTGTAAACATTAAAATGTTATCCTAAAATCAGAGCTCAGATGTAGCCGTCCATCATTTTGAACTTTTCCCCCAGAGAAAAAGCAGCAAGTCTGCCTCCATAATGAATGCACCCACAGAAGAAAGAGCGGTAATGTGAAGGAAAACTTGGACCTTTAGATATGCAATTCAGTAAACTAGCCATTAGGCCACGCCTGCCCCTCACGGGATTATTTCACAAAAACTTTTTTCAGCTTTGAATCGAATAACTGGATTGTCTTCCATTCTTATAATACCTATACAATGGAAAGTGCATCGCGTCGGACCCTCCAATACACAGCCCGTCACGGCCGACCCTGCCAAACTTATTCCAAGGCAAGTTTAGTATTCCAACATATAGTTCATTTCTTTATTATTAACTGTAGCTACTTGGTATTAGAGTTAGGAAATCCTACCAATTATCCAATCTGACGTGGCATTTGACGTGGCTGAGCAAAATCCTGAGTCAGAAATTATTTCTGGAAACCATTCAGTCAGTTGCGCCACTGCTGCCCCCGAGTGGCCACAAGTGTCGTAAATCTTCAAACCTATATGAAAAGCCATAAATGAAAGATGATGTTAATTATATAAAAGTCTGAAACATTTTACGAAATAACATAGAACCTTTGAATTAGATATTAATATTTCTTTTTTTCATTACATATTTTTCGGCCCCCTAGGTGGTTCAGCGTTAATACCGAGGACTTATAACTCTAAAAGTTGATATTCAATCCCTACCATGGATACATTCCCAACATAGAAACTGGTAACTGACAACTTTTCGATGACAAAAAAAGTTTTATCTTCGAACCCTGGAACTAACAAGTAATTTCAGGACATTCACTTCAAATTGGATGGGTTCCTTATGTCAAACTTTAGATCAGTCTGGGTTCCTTATATCAAGAATGCTTCAAAAATGTTTACATTTTTCTTTTTAATATTCATAATTCAAAACTCATTACGTTCTCTACATTTTTCATTACAGTTCCTCAAGCTTTGGGATGATTATCTGAAATGTTACTCCACTTCCGATTAAAATAAATGGACTTGCGAGTCGATGTTTGTCATTTAAACTTTTTTTCTCATTAATATATAAAATGTGTTACTAGATGGCGCTTCTTAGAAAAGAATAGTTCGTAAGATAGTCTGTAATAATGTGTAATTCACATTATTTTGACATGGAATCGTTTAACTACTCTTAAACTTCTACTGTCTTCAACTGATGCGCATATTGCTGAAATTAACTATCATAACATCGTCAGGACAACGAGCTAGTTTTAAGTCGGTATGTTTGAACAAACGGGAAGCCTTTGTCCAGATAATTTATAAATGTCATTGACAAAACTTATACTAAGTATGATGGTCGGGAACCTATCAAATAGCAGCTGCAGAGGGAGAAATGGAATAATTATAAATTATATCTAATCCAATTTAATAGCTGTGGGCTCTGTAACAAGTAAAAATACAAACATTCTCGTTAAATTTCTAACCCATTCGTACATCGATCTTTTGTGTCTCCTAGTATACGCTAGACGGGGTTTTAGTACAGGTTCTCCTCCTTTCAGTTATGGAGTCCTGTCGCAGCACGTTTGTAAGTGAGCAGTCCTCATTTCTATTTCCCAGCTACAGATGAAGAGGAGGTAACCAGTCGGCAGTAACAACTTTTACATTTTTACTTTATTTAATTACTATTCTTTACTATGTATAATTTGTATTATTTTACTTCGTACCCAGTGTAAGTGTAAGTGGATTGCACTTTTAATATAAAGCAGTAGAGATCAAGACCAGAACTTTGTCTCTTTATGTCTACACGTCATTGCTTACTAATCTTTATGTCCACATGTCACTGTTTACTAATATTTATGTCCACATGTCACTGTTTACTAATCTTTATGTCCACGTGTCACTGCTTACAAATCTTTATGTTTAGATGTCACTGTTTACTAATCTTTATGTCCACATGTCACTGCTTACAAATCTTTATGTTCAGATGTCACTGTTTACTAATCTTTATGTCCACATGTCACTGCTTACTAATCTTTATATCGACATGTTACTACTTAATAATCTTTATGTCCACATGTCACTGCTTACTAATATTTATGTCCACATGTCACTGCTTACTAATATTTATGTCCACATGTCACTGCTTAATAATCTTTATGTCCACACGTCACTGCTTAATAATCTTTATGTCCACACGTCACTGCTTACTAATATTTATGTCCACATGTCACTGCTTACAAATCTTTATGTTCAGATGTCACTGCTTAATAATCTTTATGTCCACATATCACTGCTTACTAAAACCTAACTATATAGCTTAACATTCAGGTATCGATTCTCGACGAAATTCATGCTTTCGGACATAATTTGATAACGACAAAAACGAGAGCGAAATTTTTTCTACTATATATACTCCTCCACTACATAACTTCCACTATATATATATACCCCTCCACTACATAACTTCCACTATATATACCCCTCCACTACATAACTTCCACTATATGTATACCCCTCCACTACATAACTTCCACTATATATACCCCTACCACTATATAACTTCCACTATATATATATATATATACTCCTCCACTACATAACTTCCACTATATATACCCCTCTACTACATAACTTCCACTATATATACCCCTACAGTACATAACTACCACTATATATATACTCCTCCACTATATATACCCCTACACTATATAACGTCCACTATATATACCCCTCCACTACCTAACTTCCATTATATATACCCCTCCACTACATAACTTCCACTATATTATACCCCTATATATAAACGCTCACCTATTTTAATACCAGGAATAAATGTATCAGTGATATTCTGCCCGTTGATAACCCCTGCATGTTGGTTTAGCAGCGAAACGGCCCATCGCAATATTTCGTAAGTTTCGACGCCCTCTACCGTCGTATTGCCGCAGCCATAAATCCCTTTTCCTGGTTGATGAACGTTCAAGAGGACTCCAATGGTGACGTCGGCATCTGGCACCACCTCCAAGTAACGATTCGAAACCAGACATTCCTCATTTGTCAAATTTTGTCCAATCACAAACACCCATTGTTTGAATAGCAGGAATAAAAGCGCTAAATAAGCACTTTTAAAAAGTATCATTCTTTATATCTGCAAAAGAAGAATATCTTATTTAGTTTTTATTTAACAACGTTTACCTGTAATAATTAAACAACAATGATTATGTTTTTATTATACTTTAATATTGATGTTTCATATAAAACTAGTGGAAAATAAAGCTACATGATAAATACGGACGACAATACTGCGTGATAAGTACGAACGACAATACTACGTGATAAGTACGGACGACAATACTACATGAAGAGTACGGACGACTATACTACGTGATAAGTACGGACGACAATACAACATGATAAGTAAGGACGACAATACTACATGATAAGTACGCACGACAATACAACATGATAAGTACGGACGACAATACTACATGATAAGTACGGACCACAATACAACATGATAAGTACGGACGACAATACTACGTGATAAGTACGGACTACGATACTACATGTTAAATACGGACGACAATACTACGTGATAAGTACGGACGACAATACTACGTGATAAGTACGGACGACAATACTACGATGATAAGTACGGACGACAATACTACGAGATAAGTACGGACGACGATACTACGTGATAAGTACGGACGACGATACTACGTGATAAGTACGGACGACAATACTACGTGATAAGTACGAACGACAATACTACGTGATAAGTACGGACGACGATACTACGTGATAAGTACGGACGACAATACTACGTGATAAGTACGGACGACAATACTACGTGATAAGTACGGACGACAATACTACGTGATAAGTACGGACGACAATACTACGTGATAAGTACGGACGACATTTCTTCTTATACGTAACAATAAAACGACAGATGAATTCGTTTAACTGAGCAGAAGCCACACACAACGTATTGAAAACAAAGTATCTTTTATACGTAATACTGAGCAGAAGCCACACACAACGTATTGAAAACAAAGTATCTTTTATACGTAATACTGAGCAGAAGCCACACACAACGTATTGAAAACAAAGTATCTTTTATACGTAATACGTTTCTTCGTACTTTAATGGTGGTATTATACTGAGGTCTCCTCGTGATCACCAGATACTATGGGCCGAAACGTTGTAATAATTAAAACTAATTTAGCGGGTCCTTACTAAACAATAACTCCCTAACTATGTTTTTTCATAAATTATTGAGACTTGCCCCTTCCCACCCACCCCCAAAAAAATTCAGTTTTTACCTAACAACATCGTATACGATGAAACTAGATGGTCAATTCTGAAGTTTCCACAACACACATAAACAACGTTCAACATTCAGTTACTTCACGTCGCTGTTAGTTCCATAGTCATCACACACATTTATAAGTTCCTTTCCTCTACATTAATATCTTCATAATAATAACAGGCACTGGATAATAATTACCAGTCTCGCTGTATCGGCTTATCATGTTTGTTACCTCCAATTCTTACCTAGTTTGTTAGATGCTAGTCCCTTACCATCTAGTTACCACCTGGTTTCTTAAATGGTAGTTGCTGTTATTTTGATCTCCAGAACTTGCCTGGTTTGTTAGGCTTGTGATATTTTCATGACTTTTCTAATACGTGTTATGTTGAACTTTGCTGTTTTAGCGATTGTGCATAAAAAGGGTTACACATCCACAAGAAGTATATACTGTCTCATCACGAGGTTTCACGACAGTGGAAAGGATAAAATGTTTAATACTTTATAGAACAGCTTCAAATTCACGTGATGTCAAGATTTTTACAGGTTTAGCTGAGGTCATTGTTTTAACTGCTTTAACCTAGAGGGCGGGGCGAACGAAGGAACAAAAAGATAGGTCACGCGAGCTGTAACCAGTGAACCAGTGGAGCTAGAACTCCGTATATTGTTCTATTTTGACCTACTTTCTAACAGGTTTCCCACCACTCTTAATTTAAATAATACCAATGTGAGAAATGATAGCTGGAGAGATCGGTCGCCTGGCGACAACAAATACAAGATAACAGTATATACCAATCAATGGGAAGAATATATATATTCACGTCATGAGTCGAAATCAAGGCATATTCCTCACAGTATACAGATAGAATATATTACCATAACCCAAGGACAAGAGTCCCAACACTTCGACATGTAATAAAAATCAGTTCCTGCATCTTTTATTGTATTCCGCTTACATTTTCAAGGATGTATAAAAAAAAGTTTATATTATCGAACATGTTTTTTAATCAATATGACTACCTGTTTTAACATGTCTTCCTGGCCGCTTCGCGCTTTCAAAAGTAAGTCATCTGGGACTGGTTAGTTTACGAAGAACCAAAACTCCAGTTCTGGAAGTTATCTCTGTTCAAAGAGTTAATGCTTCATGTCAGTTTGCCTATGATGAAGAATGGACCACCTCGAAGAAAGGTCCATCTTTCGAAACCGCTCGGTCTATAGGACTTTGTACTTTTGTGTTCATTTCTGGAGGTTGGCATGTTTGGAGGATTAACTCCCCAGTTCTAGAGGTTGGCATGTTTGGAGGATTAACCCCCCAGTTCTGGATATTGACTACTTTAGATATAATACTCCAGTTTTACAAGTTATCTCAGTTCAAAGAGTTAATACTCCAGTTTTGGACATTGGGTTCTTTAGAAAGTTGATGCTCCAGTTCTGGAGGTTGGCTTGTTTAGAGATCAATGATCCAGTTCTGGAGACTGACTTGTTTAGAGACTTAATGATCCAGTTCTGGAGCTTGACTTGGTTAGGGATGTAATGCTCCAGTTCTGGAAGTTCACTTCGTTAGGGATGTAATGCTCCAGTTATTGAGCTTGACTTGGTTAGGGATGTGATGCTCCAGTTCTGGAGGTTGACTTGTTTAGAGATCTAATGCTCCAGTTCTGGAGGTTGACTTGTTTAGAGATCTAATGCTCCAGTTCTGGAGGTTGACTTGGTTAGGGATGTGATGCTCCAGTTCTGGAGGTTGACTTGGTTAGGGATATAATGCTCCAGTTCTGGAGGTTGACTTGGTTAGGGATATAATGCTCCAGTTCTGGAGGCTGACTTGGTTAGAGATGCAATGCTCCAGTTCTGGAGGTTGACTTGGTTAGGGATGTGATGCTCCTACCCCTCACTTACTTAATGTACTTCACTCCAACTAGTTCACGTAATTGGGGATATAAATGTAGCGCCTAGACCACTACTATGACCATCGTATCCCAGACAGCCAGATGAATCCTGGTATTAAGCGAAAGGCCTTGTCAGCCCTGGATATGGCAGATGTAGTATGGTTGAGATATCATTACATGTTTTTATTTGCTTTCGGTCGTGCGTGTAGAATATCAAGTCTCTCAGTGCCGGTTGACAACCTATGCTCAGAGTATCGTCTCTCGATGCCATAGTTGACCTTCATGATAATTTGACCCCCCCCCCCGACTAAGAAAACCCTCAACACAATGGATACTAGTTGTTGTTTCTTCAGTGAACCTTCTTCGAATTATTTGATGAAATCCGGAAAATAATCTCTACATCAATAAAATATAAACAACAAAAAAAGAAAACTAAATACTTCGTGCATCGATTTTCGAGGCCGGTATCAAGGACTAAACCAATATCGTGTGAATTAGGTCAATCCTGTGTAGTTTACGTCTGATATACGACCACTTAGTATTAGTATGATGAAAAGCATTTCTTAATGTAGATTCGAAGCAACAGAGGGCTCTCGAAAGATTCTTTATTCTATAGTCACGTGACAACGAAACAAGTTCTTCACCAAGACTTTTCTGCGAGAGACAGGGTGAATTGGTTTAGATCGATAGAAAACAAATTGAAAAACATATGAAAAATCAATAAAATACCGTTAAAGCATTTCTTTTGCTATTAAGATTTTAGGCCAAGGTGAAATAAAATCGGACGGCTCCGGGAAAACTCTTGGATCACACTAAGGTAATTTTTTTAAACTGTCAACTTCAAAGAATGTGACAGGAACAATATATATGTGTCAAGAATAAGTCGGTGGCTCGGCGATATGTCTGAGGACTTATAACACTAAAAATACGGGTTCGATACCCGCGGTTAGGCTCAACAAAGGAAGCACATTGTGTAGTTTTGTGCCTCATAACACAACCAGTATATCGAGTTACCCTCATCCGTGATTCAATGATCATTATAAGAAGCTGTATCACTAAAAACCGGGGTTTGATACTTGCGACGGGCCCAACACAGATGGCCCATTGTGTAACTTTGTGTTTAACACCATAAACAATAAAACTCGTTGCCCTCACCTGTAGCTCAGTGGTAAGTCTAAGGGGGCTACACACTAAAATTCGAGGTTCGATACCAGCGCTAAAGCACACCACTCATAATCCATTGTGTTGCTTTCACCTTAGCAACAAACAATATAACATTTTTTCTCATTAAATAGCGCCACCTAGGAGGTTACATAAAAAAAAATATTTTTAAAATCTCGCATTTTGACATATCAAGAAATTAGGGATATGACTGTCTCTGTTTTAATAAATACGTTTACTACAACAGCTAGCTATTAAACAAGTGAGACTGGGCGTTACTAAACATACCTCTGGTTATGAACGTTTAACCACTTTATCCTTTTACTCTCAAATTACAGACTTGTTTTTATATGGTTTAGTAACATATCATATTAGGTACTTTGATGATTTTGTCTGTTACAGCATTCAGTGGGAAGAAATAATAACACACAAAAAAGTACAATTACTCATTTTCTGTGTAAAAGAACCTCAGCAGTAATTAGTGGAATTAACTGTAGTTATTGGTAATCAACAAAACCATGTGGGTTAAAGGTCGATTACTCTAAGGTTAAAGAGTTGCCCGGATCAAATCTGAAGGGTTTTTTAGCTCTGAGTTCATTCACGTGTGACGTAGCTTAAGTCCTAGTCAGGAGCATCTATACTGAAAACAAAACCCAAATACTAGTTCACATAGAAAAACTTCCCAGAACTTAGAACTTTCACATTATAAACTACGCTAACGTCGTAGCTTTATACAATCTACATTCTAAACTACGCCAACGACAGATTCATAGAAACTTTACTTT